CGCCATCGAATATCGAAGAGGTCATCACCAAGCCCGAGAATGACTACGGATTGAAGCGAAAGGATGGCGGAGAGGTAGGCTGCCAGCTAAAGTGGTGTTAGAGATATATGGTAGCAAAGCAAAAGCACGAGTGAAAACTTGCCTTGTTATGAGGAAACCTATGAAGAAAGCGTCCAGTCTCAACTTGCTGTGCTTCAAGCACAAAGTCCCGATTTCCACCTCCAGACGTGGCAGCAACGATATCCTTATAGAAAGGAAAGGGAATGAATACAATGATGACCAGTAAGTATACTACAGCGCATACAGCGCCCATAGTCTCAGGACTAAGCCATAGTAAGCAATTGAACCTGCTAGTACTCCAACCAAAAGTCACATACATCTCCACCTTCCTCAATTTACTCATGTCCTTCCCCTTGAAGCCAGCTTTCATAAACGCACCTCCAAGCCATCGTATTAAACAATACGTCGAACTGAAAGCTACACCACTGAAGGCGAGTGAAGCAATAATCGGGTTGCCATCTCCCTGAAAGGTATTCGCGATTATGGCGACGCCAGCCCCGAAAATGGTAAAGGTCGTCAGGATCTCGTTGCGTGATAATGAGGGTGACATCGCTTTTTTACTGCTGGAAACCGCGGGAAATTGGGAGCATCATGTATCGTCAGATCGATTGGCTGCCTAGGATGATGAGTTTTCCCTCTTCAAAAAGCGCTCCCTTCCTGGAGGTCTTGATGTTCGTGATACACCATAAAAAAGGTTACAGTTTCATAACGCCACGACGCGGCTGGACCTGAGTGATCTGCGCAAGGATGGCGGAGGAGGGTGCGGAGGGGAGTCCTCGGGACTCTCCAATCACACCCCTTCCTTTCGACACTATATGTTCTTTCGCAGACCTCGACGCCATTAATGCACACCTAAATGCTATCCGCTTCACTCGTACTTTACGTTCAAGTCAATTACCCTCGTTGGAAGCCTCACCGTCTCCACTACCTGCTATAGAGAGAGGGTCCAACCAAAGTCAAGCTTCAAACGTGATAGAATTTCCAAGCTTTACTCCTATTCGCAACCAGGACGTTAATTTTGCGCAATTACATTTCAAACTTATAGAATTCCACATCAAAGCTGTTGGCTCGACTTCTCAGTCCTACGAAGCGCTGCTGAAAGAGCTGGGTATACGTTCTATCATCATCCCTCCAGCTTTCATCGACTTGTATCGGGTTCAAAATACACCGGAGTTTGCATCATTATTTCGTCCATTCTATTTCAACAACAAAGTCGCTGAAGAGAAACTTCCCGACCTTCTTGGCTTGCTGAACTCCGACGTGCTGTTGAACGACATAGTTACCAGGAACTTTCAATTGCACGCAGCATATCCCAACCTTAAATCTTGGTCACGTATCGCCCCACGTTCAGGGCCTTGGCCATACAATTCCTGGATGTCTTTCGGTACCGTGGATAATAGCCACAACGATATCGTACTTGCTGTTGATTTCGATTACTATGGCGATCGCATGGTCACGGCATCTTCTGATCATAAACTACGAGTCTGGGATAGGAAGGGGGATGACTGGGCTCTGCTTGATACTTGGAAAGCTCATGAGGCCGAAATTGTTGATGTAAGTCCGCTTTGCTGTCCTAATCCTGCCATTGCTGTCTATGGCGTGATAAATGAAGATACGCATCCAACTTGAGAGCACTACTAAAAATCCAAATAGGTCAAGTGGAACGGTCCGTTCTGGGGAAGCACTCTGGCCAGTGTCGGTGAAGATGGGCGTGTCAAACTTTTCCAAGAAGACCCGTTGGAGATACCGAAGTCTGGCCGACGCTTTAAAGTCATTTGGTGGCAACGATCCGAAACGAATATACCCTTCATGTCTCTTGATTTTAAAAATTTACCCACAGAGAATTTACTGGCTCTTACCACCCGCGACGGCTACATTCAAGTTTTGGAACCTACAAATTCAAACAGTCTATCAGACTGGTCACCTGTGGACGCGAAGTTCAACAGATACCTTATCAAATCACCAGATAGGTCCGAAGAGACCGGATTTTGCGTCACTTTCCACAAGGAGGAGATGCCAAGTTTTGCAGCCTCTGTGGAATCCTACGAACATAAACCGATTTCCCTTGCTGTTGCTACCATGAAAAAAGTCAAGGTCTTCCGCACAGACAGCCAACGTAGATTTTACCTTGCCGCTGAGCTTGAAGGTGCCCGCCAGGTCATTCGCGATATCGCTTGGGCGAACGGTTCAATTCGAGGCAAAGATGTGATCGCCACAGCTAGTAAAGACGGATATATTCGCATATATGAAGTACAGCTTGAGAAGGCTATAAATAACCCTGATTCACAATTTGCAACACAAGAGGACGAATGGAAAGACCTCGAAGTGGTTCCGGACTCAAGTGCAGTCTCACGCACTCAGCAGTCTCAGATTACCGCAGGGCTCCATAAAATTAAGGAGGATTATGCACCACAGCGATCAGACCCTGTGGTTGATCGTCCAAGGGAGATTGTCACTCTTGCTGCCGAACTCACTTCGTACTCTGGCGCTGTGTGGCGCTTAGCATTCTCCCCGAATGGTAAGTCTATCATGTTTGACACGAATACATACACCTCTAACAGCGAGATAGGTGATGTGCTAGCTTCTACGGGTGACAATGGCGCTGTTCGCTCCTGGAAGAAATCTCTTTCTGGGCAATGGCTAGAGTATGCCCAAGTTGACGTTGAAGGAGACACTTGAAACAATTTTTTCGGGTTCGCATTTCAGGATTTGTGTCTGCTCTCCAGAAGATACTATCTCGCTCGGTATCTGCGGATTTAAGTACTGTCCGAGCGCTGAGCACTGCGCTATGTTTGCTACATTCTTTCCCCTTCGTATTGGAATTAAGCTAACTTTGCTAGCTTAGCTTTGGTTGGGCTTGGATCCTGAAAGACTTCAGCGTTTCCACGGAGGTTCATAAAACTTGACTATCCAACTGCAGATTTTGCGTTTTACGAAGAAATGATAATACTTACATGTCGATAGTGCCAGATTCACTCACTCAACTCGCTCGCTTACTTGCTTGCTTGCTCGACCGCATTCGCATTCGCCTTTCCTTTCGCCTTGCTCAACATTTTCACCTATTAGATTGAACACATCCGCTAGCATGCTCGTTTCCCTGTGTTGCAAATTCAGCGTTACCATGATCAAGCAGTGTAGCTCACCTAGTTTCCAATCCTTTGAAGCAGCTTTAGTACACGATGTCCCTCTGCAAATTACACATTCCAATTACGTAGCGCATGGGGTTGCCCGAGCAGTTCTGTTGAGTCGCGGAATGTAAACTCCACTGCATCTTAAATCCTTCTTACAGCACAGGAAAGTTCAGGAAGACAAAACCATTTCATCAAAAGTCATCAGGCAAAAATAAAGGTAAGCCATTCGCTAATCAGGAGTGTTATCTGGCTGAAAACCATAGAGATGACAACCTCACCAGTCAGTACAATGACCACACCCATGTCTCCTGGCGAAGCGCTCGCTTGGTTCTCGCCGTTGAAAGGATGTAGCGCTGCCTCTATTCGGATACCAAAGCGACATACTAGCTCTCGTTGAAGGCACGATCAGGGAAATTGGTGGGTTGAAGAAGGCCAACCAACTATTGTTGCACGATCTGTTTCTGCTTCTGCAGTACCAGTCACCACTCTACCCCATACATCACTGTATCAAGCAGAACACCTTTCCCGAGATCGAAAGGATGGCCGAATGTACGAACATCAACTCCCTAGTGATAGAATTACTGGTTGGAGACCTACTGTTATGACTCGTGGGGGGTATACCGCAGAGCAGATTGCTGGTTTTCAGCTCTATGAGATCAAATTCAAGCGCCTTTCATCGCAAGAGTATGGCGGAAGGACTGTCGTTCGTGCAAATACTCCTGCTGAACGTGAATCGCCATCTATCACTCCACTGCGGGCTGCATCACCGCCACTGCGCTTCATAGAGCTCGAAGCTGACACTCCACCTATGTCTCCACCAACTCGTTCACCAGCAAGATTCGAGCATCACTCCCCGGTAGCAAATTCTAGGACCACGGAAGAGCAGAATTTGTCAATGAGTGCTCATGACCCATGTCAGGATGCTTCGCCACTGCAATTTCCATCCGATCTATCGGTGTCACCCAAACGTATTCCTCGCAAAACCATCGGTTCAGGTACCGCTCCGAAAACTGTACGATCAAAATCGGACCCTCTCCTGATATGGCCACTTGAGAAAGCTCATAATCCAGAACGTCCATCAAGGTCTCAATCGCCGCGCAAGCGTAAATTGCATGCAGAGTATGGTTACATTTCGCCTGTGGATATCGAGACTAGTCAAATATTCTCACCGTGGGACACGCATGACCCACCTCCTTCGCCAACGATGCGGCCAAGAGGTGCAAATCTTACGCCTAGCTCGAGGAAGTCGAGAAGGGCTGTGAGATTCGGTGGTGACATTGCACCTGTAGAGTTCATCGAGTTGAGTAGTTCCCGGAGCCACGAAGTACTGAGTCCGAGGTCGCCACGGTATGCTAACTTTTCCCTCTTCTCCACAAACCGTTTGCTAACATTTTCACAGGTTATGCAAAGACCTGGCCGTGACAATCTCTGCGCTTTTAGGTTTACACGATAAACTCACGCCCGCTAATATGTCAAGAGCAAAAGACTGGGGAATTTGGGTCGCGAAGGTGGGTTTTGGGCTATATCTAGCGGCTCGCCTTTGGAATATTCTTGCAGCCGTTAAAGATGCTGTTTTTATGGCTTTGGAGCCTGTTTTTGCGTTTTGTGGATTTGTCAGATGGGTTTTTGGAAAGTAAGTCCAACAAGCTTGAAATTGTGGTGCAAGTTGGCAGATCTCCGTTACTCTATTCTGGAACATGCTCAACAAATTTTACCTCCTTCCTTTTCGCTTTACTTTTTCCATTTCACGTTCACCTAGCCAGACAAAGTACGACGACCCTTTCAGCCGTAGCAGATGGTAAAAAGAAAAGCCGAACGCGAGACTCGAACTCGCAGCCTTGAGGTAATCTTCGATTTAAAAGCCTCATGCTCTAGCCATTGAGCTAGCCCGGCTTTGGGTAAATTGCGTTCTCTACAGGTGCGTTATCATGTGGAGTTCGGTGACGATACCTTGAAGGGGAAGCTGTTCCTGATATCAAGTCCGCGGGTTGTGAATGACAGCGCTACATCTCAACTTAGCATGACTTATGTCTAACATTTCTATTCACAGAGCTGGATAACCAGCAAAGAAACTATTCAGACTTCCTCCTTGATCACCTGGAAATCAATCCTTGTAATACTGCCAGTCATATCGGGCATTTATACTCGGAATTGTCGAGGTATAAATCCTTCGAATTCATGTTGAATCGAGCGAGAGTACGAGCCGATTCTAATTAGACAGATATATATGCATTTCGCTACCCATAACCTGTAGATTTCACTTCAAGCAAGGCTATTCGTCCAAAGTAGCTAAGCGGTGGTAAGCACGAAGAAATAATACCGCTTGTTCTGTCGAGAAATGGTTGGATAATATCAACAGGGATTAACTGGAGAATCCCCGAAGTCTTGTAAGTGCGACTTGGCAGCCTCTAGGCTGACATTTGAAAGCTACTTTCTTCACGACGACCTGTTTTCCTGAATATAATGCTAATCTCAGGCTCTTGAGATTGCAGTTCGCACTTGATTTTAAAGGCTCTAATTTGGCCATCTTGCTGAACGCCACCCACGATTCTTCTTAGGTAAGTTGCAAACAGTAGCTGAGTGCCTGTGTCTTCCAGACCTCTGCTCTTGCATTTGGGCAGAAATCTCAGTAAATCTTTTGTGCCTTTCCTCTCTAGATTCAACCTCTCTATTAACATATCCGTGACGCGTCTGGGACTCTCCAAAAACAGACAGCGATCCTCATTATGCAGACTCGTGTCGCTGTCATTGGGGCGGGTGCGCTTGGTCTAATGGCGATGAAGACCTTGAAAGAAGATGGGTTTGATGTGACTGGCTATGAGACTCGGTCATGGGCCGGAGGCTTATGGAAATACTCCGACGATGCATCACTCTCTGCTGCAGACAAAACCGTCTTCAACAGTAGCATTTATCGGAGCGCGATGTCTGACTACCCTTTCCCAGAGGGTACCGACGACTTCCCCACGGCTGCTCAGCTGCATAGCTATTTGGAGGACTATTGTGACTATTTTGAGCTTCGAAGCCGTATCCACTTCAGCACCTGTGTTTTAAATGTCAGCAGAGACCGCGGCCAATGGAGACTCATTGTAGACTCCAAAGAGTTTGGCAAGCGTGAAGATCGATATGATAAGGTCGTGGTAGCCATTGGTACTTTCAGTAAGCCTAAGATCGTCGATATCAGAGGCTTGGAACATTTTACCGGGAAATATCTCCACGCAATTGATCTCCACCAGCCATCCCAATACCGTGGCCAGACTGTCCTCTTCATTGGCTTGCACGCCACAGCCCAAGATGCAGTAGAAACACTTTCGGATTGTGCCCAAAAAATCTACATCTCGCACCGTAATGGTGTGGTTTTGGTAATGCTCCCTAATCAATTACCTCCGGTTCTGCCACTAACACTTGTTTTCGAAGCTGCCTCGTTATGGTCCTGATGGTGCTACATTTGACCAGACTCAGACACTCCAGGTGCTTTTAATTATGACCGCTCTCTTCGCCTGGCTGCCCAACTTCACGAATTGGGTCCTGGACAGGGTTGTTTTAAGCATGTCGGCCAAAGCCTATCCAACTCTGAAGAAATCGTGGAACCTTTCGCCAGCGCCCTCCATCTCGGTGACACCCCCACTTATCGCGGACAGCATACTTCCCCATCTCCAATCAGGTTTTGCCGAACCCGTTGCCAGTGTTCGCTGCATCAGAAAGGACCAGTCAGTGGAATTGACAGACGGGCGCATCTTGGAGGATATCGATACTATCCTTTTCTGCACAGGCTATGACTCGTATATTCGTTTCTTGTCCAAGGGACTGAATCCTTACCATGTCACAGGAGAAGTTGGAAATCTCTACCATGGCACCTTTCCAGTCCACGCCGATCCGGATGTCCGGAGCTCTATTGCATACTTGGGCCATGCAGGTATTGCGTTTCCCGGGATGATCCAGTTCGAAATCCAAGCAATGGCCATCTCTCAGACCTGGCTTGGCAACTCGCCACTGCCATCATTGCAAGAGATGAAGAAATGGCATCGCGGCCTGCTGCGATGGCGGCAAGATATGGTAAAAAGGCAGAAGGTGGAGTCTACGTTCTATCCTGTTGTTTTGCCATTTGCCCCTCACCTCCGATGGTTGAACAAGACTGCAGGAACAGGAGTCTTTGAGCATTTCGGGTGGTTCGATTCGCGCGCTTGGAGCTTTTGGCGCAGCGACAGGACTTTTTACAAACAATGTTTGAACGGTGTTTTGAGCCCTACTATATTCAGACTCTTCGATGTAGGCAAACGAAAGGCTTTGCCCTGGAAAACAGCAAAGGAGATGATACTACGAGACAACCAAAGGGCCCAAAAACAGAAACTGGAGCGTTTGGCCTCCAAGAAGAACGTGTAAAGAAGGACTCGGCTGAACGTGTTTACAGGTTACTCCTCAGGTTTTTTTTGGAAAGCCGGATCGGCTCTTACCGGAATCCTAACCTATAAGCTTCAAGATAGCTATAATAAAACTATTTTAGTATAACCACAACTCCTAGCACTGTTAAACATTTTAATATTAGGGTGTTTCGATATAGTTAACCAGATTCGGTATACTAGAATGGTTCTAACCTCTCTAACATCCTAGATGTTGTCCGGCTTTTAAAAAACTTGAGGAGTACTCCCAAGAGCTCTGCAACGACGCAGAAATCCGGATTTGTGCTTGCTCGACGCTACACTTTTGGCATAGTTTATTAACAATAAGCAGAGTAGTAAATAAACCGCCTCAGATTTGGCACTTGTTCAGAGTGCTGGCAATCTGCATTCCCTCCATTTCTTTTAAGACCAGACAGAGACCAGGACTGTGAAGTGTCTGAATTCCTAACCATATAAAGTTATTCCGATGTACCTACCCACTCTTATTGTAGCTACATTAGTTAAGGCCGGGGGCCGTGAGTATATTGACTTAGTTCTAATATAGCTAGAGTAAAAGTTGTCGCTTAGGCTCCCAGACGACAGCCTATCTGTTTTCCAGCAACATGAGGAGTAACACCAGCTGGAACTCGCACTGAAGTGACCAAGGAAACAGCCAGCCTTCGGTCTGACAGTGAGGTAGACAACTGGAAGAGAAGATGCTATTCGAGAGACAGTAGGAAATAGCTTAGTAGCAACAAGTCATCATTGACCATAAGAATCTACAATTCGATGTCTAGTTTCTAAAAGAAGTTCGGGATGACCGCAAGTGGACACCTTCATATCAAGATCGAAAGTCAAAGCAACATCTCTACCTCAGCAATGGCTGCATGTATGCCTATCCTTGACTGAGGGAAAGACATACGCTCGTAAACAAGGTGACCGACGACTGCGGCAAAGGTCATTCGCAGCGATCTTGACGAAGTTTACGTGCTGGCGCGAATGATGAAACTACGAACCAACAGGCTAATCAAGATACGGGCGGATGAAGGCGCTCTCGAAAAGAATAGACAAGCTATTTAAGTATGTTGTGTGCTCAAGTAGAGGTCACATAATCGTCACTGCTGAGATAGGGGATAACCCCACTGTATCACGTCAGCCTCCAGCGGGATGACACACTGCTCATAAGCCCCTATCTCCCTATATATCGTTGAGCACTACCCAAAACTGTTCAAAATCTTTAACCTCCATCCACACCATCTATCCCCATCTTTCCTTTCAGTTTTCTACCTTACAATGTGCCTGGTACGCCTTCTGCAATGCTGGAAGTTTTAGCTTACCAACCGTATGTCGTAACGCCAGGCATCCTCGGTCAAATTGCCCTAAACGCAGTGAAATCATTGGACAATGTCTCGTAAACTCCCTACCTCCATAGGAGGTGCTCACCGCCGGTACATGTGTTCGGCCGACTTCGATCGCATTTCTAATCAAGCCGTCTGCATACGTTGCACTAGATGATGGGATTTGTTTACTATAAAGTCGGCAGGTGCGGTGGGGTAGCTTTTTTGTTGTACGAGCTTCATACCTTTTTAGCAGAAATCCAAAGCTTTCAAATCATCTTTCACTACCTCTCCAAATACAAAACTTCTCTTTCCAGATCAAATTTGAAATCGTTCCAACCCAGAATCATGCCTTCCCTCTACGAAATCTCCGTTCCAGCTTTCATCCGCGGCCTCAACCAACTTACCCACTGCCTTAAAAAGGCCGAAACCTACGCCAGTGAAAACAACAAAGACATTTCCTCCATTTTAAAAGCCTCCCTCCACCCGGACATGAAAGCCCTACCCTTCCAAATCCAAACTGTTTCCAATACCGCCAAAAACGCCTGCGTCCGAGTCGCAGGTATCGAAGCCGTCCCAATGGAGGACAATGAGACCACTCTCCCCCAGTTTTACGAGCGCATTGAGAAGACGATCAAGCTACTCGAGGGCGTTGATGCGAAAGCTTTTGAGGGTAAGGAGGAACAGTCGCTGGAGGCGGTGGGTATGAAATTTACCGGGCAGAGTTATCTACTTACGTTTGAGATTCCGAATTTTTATTTCCATTTGACGGCTGCTTACGCTATTCTGAGGAAGGAGGGGGTGCCCCTTGGGAAGATGGATTTCTTGGGTGCTCGGTAGAGAGGTCGATCGGCATCCTGTTCGATGTATGAAGTGTGACAATCAACAAAAGGTTCTATCTTATTTGTATGAAAATACATTGGCCCACCTGCTGTCAAACAGTCGGTTTAGGAAATTTATGGTGAAGTGTGACTACTTCTTCGAAATCTTTGAAAGCCAGATAAGCAATTCTCACACGTCCCACGCATGATTTTTGAGTAGATATATTAAAAACAAATAAGCATGCTTGTCGTTCTTACTTATGAATATAATGTAGATCTACAGTTCGATGTGTATAGAAGACCGGGAATCCAACACGTTTCAGAGTCGGTAGATCTCGGGCTGACTTTCTAGCAATTTG